GCACACACCCCCTCCCATCCATACACCCCCTCCTGTGCACACACTCCCTTCTGTGCACACACCCCTGTCTTGTGCACACGCCCCCTCTCGTGCACACACTTCTCCATCACTAAGTTGCATGCTCAGCACAGACTGGGTGTTCAGGGTGAAAGGCTAACCTAAGTAGATTGACTCATGGCTCCTCACATGGCTGTCACATGACCCCCAGGCCATCAGACCCCCCTGCAGGACTGAGCCTTCTCCAGCCCAGGGTGGCTTTGGGTCCACAGTCTTAAGCTCTGGCCCAGGCCTCGGGCCCTCCTAGGTCTGCCTACTTCCTTCCCTCCCTCCATCACCCTTCTCAAAGCCACGTGAGCCTCCTGCCCACACCTCTGCACAGGCTTTCCCATTGTTTGGTAGGAAGCACCCACCCCTCACCTGTGGATGGCTTTGGGCACCCTGCACCCTCTTTCATCTGTCCCTTGTTGCTGTTGTCTGCTGTGCGGGCCACATGCCCTTTATAAGGCGGCCACTGAGCCTTCTTCCTGGTGAAACCCCGGGGCCCAAGTGAGCTGCTGCTGTGGGAGAGCTGGAGAAATGGGAAGAGCAGCACCTCTGCCGGAATCCCTGTCCGGGTTGGTGAGAGTCCCCCAGGCCCAGGGGAGAAGCTCAGTCTCAGGGAAGGGAAGTTAGGTTCTGAGGGCCTTGGCATTTGCTCCCAACAGTGAACCGGTTGAGCTTCATTCCTGAGGCCAAGTCCTGGCCGATCTCTTGGTGTCCTTGGAAATGTTTATGTGCCCTTATGCGATGGTACCTGGCCTGCCGAGGACTCCCTCACTGCTGGGGACAGCTCGGGACATGACACTGGTGGGGAGGCTGTGCCTGCCGCCACTTCCAGATACCAGCATCTAACTGTTAAAGCCAAGGGACGCAGGGAGCAGGCTGCGACCTGGAACCCCCAACTCAAGATGCACAAAGGCACGACCGGATCATAGAAGCACCCAGGAGACTTTGGGCTGCTTGCTTCTTGAGATTTCCCCCATATGAGCATTCCTTCTGGTCTGTTCAAGAATCTTCCGGCCACAGCTGAAGCTGCCATGGCAAAGGCAGAGACCTCTGGGGAACAGGAGCCAGGAGCGACGTCCACCAGGGCTGCTGCAGCACGGTGACGCCGGCAGGATTCATGGGGTGACCTGGGGTCCCGGTGCAGGTACCCCAGACGATGAGGCTGGACTTCCCCGGGGCTGCTCACCCCAGTGAGGAGCAGATGCGAGCCTGCAGCCCACCTTGGTGTTTACCAGGCGCACAGGGAGAGACGGATGCCAGATGCAGGAAGAGCTGTCCTCTTGAGAGCAAAGGTGCTCTGTGGGCTTCTCCGCCTTGGTAAGAAGAACTGTCAGGCCTCGCCTTCCCCGCAGCCTTAATGAAAAAAATGAACACCCCACGCGTTACCCTCCCTATCCATTCCAACTGGATGGCTTTCCTGTGGCCAGACGCGTGCTCCTATTTTTGAAGTGAGTGAAGAACAAGTCCATGTCTTTGAGGCCCGACTAGTAATTTAGTTAATGACTTCCTGTGCTGAGCACGCGGACAGATGCGTTGACACCCGGAGGATTTCAGTGCATCAAACAGAAGCCACCCCAGGGGAGCCCAGCACTAGGGCCAGAGGAAAGGTGCCTGCTTTTACAAGGAGGTGTCCAGCGTGGGAAGATGCGCCGTGCAAAGACACTGGCCTCAGTTTCCCTTTCTTGAAAAAGAGTCATTTGCAAAATGCAGACGTGACTATCCTGAGACGCGATGAGGAGCTCTCCATGGTTCAAGGACACTTCCGCCCTTCTGTGTTCAGGTGGAAGTCTCGACCTGGGTTCTTCTGAGACAGCGAGTCAATGAAGGGTGACCTTGGTGAAGTGTGCCCCAGTGGCTTAGCCCATGTGGCGCTCAAGACGATACGCTGGAGAAGCAGTGTCGGAGTTACTTCCACAGCTGGTGAGCTGAAATCATGCATGTGTGAGGTCAGGTGTGTGTGACTTCTCTACGTCAAAGCAGACGACGGGATGGGAGCAGGCGTGGGTGACAGCTCACGGCTGTCAGAGACAAGACAGTGTAGACGCCGGAGCCAGGAGGCTTGGTCTGAAGCCCAGCCCTGCCCCTTGCTGATTCACTTCTGTGAGCCTCAGTTGACTTGTCTATAAAGTGGGGATAATAGTACCTGCCTCAAGGGCCGGGCGCGGTGGCTCAAGCCTGTAATCCCAGCACTTTGGGAGGCCGAGGCGGCAGATCACGAGGTCAAGAGATCGAGGCCATCCTGGTCAACACCCCGTCTCTACTAAAACTACAAAAAGAAATTAGCTGGGCATGGTGGTGCGTGCCTGCAATCCCAGCTACTCAGGAGGCTGAGACAGGAGAATTGCCTGAACCCAGGAGACGGAGGTTGCGGTGAGCCGAGATCGCACCATTGCACTCCAGCCTGGGTAACAAGAGCGAAACTCCGTCTCAAAAAAAAAAAAGTACCTGCCTCATAGGGTCATTGGGCAACCTGCAGTTCAGGTTTGGGCTTTTGACAGAGGGCACTCTGACGTTGCTTAGAAATGAAACGCACGAAGGAGAAGCTGACATCCTTGGTCTCCAGGGTTCCGGGCAGTGCAAGACCAGCCGACCATCTGCAGGTGGGCACAGGCTGCTGGGGCTTTTTCTCAAGGCGGTTCTGGGAGCATCTGTGCAGAACACCCCTCCTACAGGCTCAGAGAGCGGGGCCACCTGGGTGGATGCACTACACGATGTGCTCCAGGTGAGAACCTGCACAACCTGAGAGGGATCATTGCCTGACCGGCTTGGTGTCAGGCCCTGCAGAGTGCTGATGGGGAGGTTAGGGGGTCCTTCTGCAGCCCTGCCTCCTGCAGATGGCAAGGCAAGCCCTTTCCCGCAGGTGACCTGAAGACAGTGTTCCTAGGTGTTGGGGGCAGGATGGAAAGTGGTCCATGGGAAACAGGTAAGCCTACACCGCAGGGGTGGCAGCTGACAGACAGCATCAAGACTCTGCCTCTACAGTGAAAAGCAAAATGTTCGGAAGCTCATCTGGAAAGAAGGAATTGCTTGCCTTAGAAATGTAGCGAACAGCAGGGAATCTGCGGTGGAAGGGCCTGTGGTATTGGGGTTAATGGCAAGGGCTGAGCAGTCAAGCATTCCTGGGTTCGAATCCCAGCTCATCCTCCCCATGAGTTTCCTGGGGCTGCCGTAACCATGACCACAAATGTGGTGGTGTAAAACCAGAAATGTATCCTCTCCCAGTTCTGGAGGCCAGAAGTTCAAAATCAAGGTGTGGGCAGGGCCACGCTCCCTGCAGAGGGAGGATCCCTTCCTTGCGTGTCCAGCCCGTAAAGGCTGTTGGCTGGCCTCAGCCTTCCATGGCTGGTGGCTGCGTCGCGCTCTGCTCTGCCTCTGTCTTCCCGTGACCTTCTCCCCACTGACTTCTCATCTTTGTGTCCACTTTATAAGGATGTGTGTGGTTGCACTGAAGGTCCACCTGGGTAGTCCAGGATGAGCCCCTCCTCGCAAGGTCTTCTATTTGATTGTACCTGCAAAGAGCTTTTTCCCAGATGTTAGAAGTAGATGCTCGGTGCCGAAAAGAAAAATCAGCACTGAGACAAAGGATCCTTCAGCAACGCGGTTTTTACTTCCTGGACTGCAGGAAGGGGACTCCCAGTAGCCACTGTGCCACAAGAGCACAGAGAACAAAGGGAAACGCACAAATTTATCCCTTACGCATTTGGGGTCGTCCTCACTGCTGTGTCTGATCTCCGTTGGCTGGAGCCAGACCTCACAATCTAAACTAAAACCCGATTGGCTAACAACTTAAAACTTTTCTAAACGGTAAAAGCAATGGAGAGCTGGGACACGCCTGTGAGCACATCCAGCTCAGATATCTTGGGTAAAGTACGAGGACATAGAATATACTACGTGCCTGTAAGCATGGCGTGTCTAACAGCTACAGAGGATAGGGCTTCACAGAGTTATTAGCACACTTATTCTTTAATAAGAAAGGAAGCTTTGGAAAGGAACTTTTCTACTTCCCACACCAGATAAGGTCACATTCTCAGGTTCCACAGATTTGATATGGATGCCTTTCCACAGCCCACCTTTTGGCCTACCACATCCACTTACTAGCTGTGTGACCTCAGGTAAGTCACTTAACCCCTCTGAGCCTCAGATGTCATCTGGCAAATGCGGACCGGCGCCCATGACGCATGGAGTCCCTGTGGCCTGGTGCTGGCACCCACTGGGTGACCACAGCTTCTGTTATAGGGAAAGCACATTTGGTTTCAAGAGTGAGCAGATGATTTTCGTAACTGAATCTTATGTGTTGTGCCCAGGTATTTGAAGTACATGCTGGACCAGTATGTGGAGAATGATTATACCATCATCTACTTCCACTACGGGTTGAACAGCCGGAACAAGCCGTCCCTGGGCTGGCTCCAGAGCGCATACAAGGAGTTCGACAGGAAGTGAGTGCCCGCAAGCCTTCAGGGATGTGGGTGTGGGCTGCGTGTGGCAGGAGGAGGCGTGTGGACACAAGGGGTCACATGTGCAGTGGGGGAGGGGCGTGGCAGGGTGGAGGGTGGAGGGTGAGCAAAGGGGAGGCAGTTGGGGTTCACCTTCCTTCTGGA